CAGGGTCTGCCCAAACCTCTGCCCACATTTTAGGGCATCTGTGGCCACACTGCACCCAAGCAGCCCCAAACAAACGTGGGCTGCAGTCCAGAGGTTCACACCCAGCACACTTCCAGCCAAATATTAACTATATTTAAAACCAGCAAACATTCTGACAATTAAGATGAAGTTCCTGCTTCCTCCAAGACACACCCCCTTTGGAAAGCGCTGACAGGCAGGGATGTCTACTTTCCCCTCTAGAAGCTGGCCTGACATTCTTCCCACCTCCTCCAGAACTCTAAAAACTCACACAGGGGGAGAATTCCTTGTTGTAAAATGATTAATCATCATTCCTAAACACTTCACAACAACATTTCCATGAGGAGAACCCCTTCCCCCAGTACTCCCCAGCATTTGAGGTTCTAGGATTTAACTGTCAGTTCTGATCACCCAGATTTGACCCATGGCAGGACCTCCTTCCCTCTCACACACACACTCCACCGGCCAACAACAGAGCTGGCCTGCAGGGCACAGCCACAGCCCCAGGCGGTGTTCGCAGGTAGCCCCTGGACATGGCTCTGCCCCAAGGAGCTTAAGGCTGGGTGGGCACAATGAGACCCCAGAAAGGCCAACTCCATCCCTAGGGAGATGGACATAGAGACAGTGCCCTGAGGAGGAGGGCAGGCTGAGCCCAGACAGACAGACAGACACACAGGAATTGGAGGGAGCCATGCCACGCAAGTCTTGTCCACTCTACTTTCTGAGCACTTCCAGAATGTGACCCTTCTCCTGACCCCAGTCCCCACTCGCCACCCCCTGGGTACACATGCAGGGCCTCCTCACTGGCTCCCTGCCCCTAACTTCCTCCCGACCTGTCCCCACAGCAACACCCTGTCAAAACCTCAGTCCACTCCTGCCCCTCCTCTGCTGAGACACTCCCCCTCCAGGGTGGCTGCCACCATTCTCAGAGGAGCTGAGCTAACCTCGGTGAGGGCCCTGGCTAACCCCTGGGCCCTCACAGCCAGCTCTGAACTCCGTACAGAATACATGCCCAACAAATATTTACTGAGGTATGAATGAAATGTCTGTCACTTAAGTGACCTGAACAGCTTTCAATTTCTCTCAAGTCAGTTTTACTGATTATACCTCCAAAACCCCTTCCAGTGCAACAGAACAAGCAGTGGAAAGAAGGCCAGAAAGCTACGGGTGAAGGATGCTTAAAACTTTAACAGAAGCATTCCTGCTTCCCAGATTGAAATCATTCAAAGTAAGCTGGTGACAAAGTGAGATGCCAGGTCATCTACCTTACGGCTGCAGGCAGGGGTGGAGGGCATGGGGTCTGGTCTCCATCCTCCAGTTAGAAGACACGGGCACAAGGGACCACAGTGTGTGGCCCAAGTGGCTTTGTGCAAGAGTGAGATCCCTAAGAGGAGAGGACAGGTCCTCCTCAGTGCCTGTGCAGAGCCACACATCCCCACCAAACGAGGCAGACAAGACACCTCCGAAGGCAACAGGCCTCCAGCTGTCTCCTGCCAGGTCCTGCCACAAAAATCCATCCCTCCCAGGTCAAATTCTGTGACAGCACCCCAGTCGGTGCCAGTGAAGAAAGGCTGGGCTGATGAGGATCCCTACCCCAGGAGTGATGAGTCACGGTCAAGATGGGGCTGGAGGAAGAATCTTGCGAGAACTTGGTGAAGGGACAGCTCAGGTATGGCACACACATCCCAAGGACAGTGGGGAGCCTGAAATGAGGGCCTGTTTCCCCGACCTCCACTCCACACTGCCTCTCCAGTGAATGGAGGATGCATGACCCCAAGGATAGAACACAATTCTCCCTCCCCATGGTGAACATTCTTCCCAACCCAGGCCAGCGGGGCAGCCCCACCCACCATGGCAAGAACACTGGGAGGGGTGCTCAGAGTCCCTGAGTAGGAAAACTCACCTTAGAAGCAAGCTCTGGCCCCACAAATGGCCAAAGGTCTATCCCAAACAAGTTCTCGGCTGCCGCCAAAGCTGCCAAGAGCAAAGACGCAGCCACTGTGAGTGTGGGTGACGACTTAGAGACCCTCTGCAATTCTCCCCAAAACGGGGCTGGCTGGAGGAATGTGATGTGACCACAGGTGGGACAGACAGCCTTTTTACTCTAATAGTTGTGTGTTTATTTTGATAGTTACTGTCTATGGCAAGTTACAGTAATGTTCTATTTCAGGGAATGATACGAAGTTTCCTTTTAAAAGCAATATTTTCGAAAGTAAGGACACATGAGGATTAAATGCAAGGTGGGATCCAGGAACAGAAAAAGTACATTAAGGGGAGAACACTGGTTAAATACATCTGAATAAAGTCTGTAGTTTAGTTAGCAGCCCGGCACCAGCGTTAACTTCATTCTGGTACTGGTCCCATGGCTGGGTAAGATGTTCACTGCAGGGAAACACAGGGAAGGATACAGGGAAACTATGCCATTTTTGGAACTCTTTCGGAAGTCTAAAATCCCCACAAAATAAAAAGTTTAAAAGTACTCAAACTTTTAAAAAGTGAGTTGAAATGTTAAATAGGAAGTAAATCACAGTACAAACGGTACGAAGATGAGGAAAGAACCACTGGGGCCCTACGAGACTATCTGGAGGTGAACACAGGGGTCTGGTCACACACGTTCATTTCACTGATGAGAAAAGTGATGCTGAGAGACCAAGGGCTTTGCCCACGGCTGTGAGAGCTGTACCAATCCCACCAACCCCTGACGCCTGTCCTCCCCATCACACACCTGCCCAGAACCATCGGGGAGCAGGCACACCCAGAGGCTTTTTCCCCATAGGGTTCACTTTGGCAGATGACCCTCGATTAGATGCAGGAGAAAATGACTTTCATGGCCGAGGGAAAGCACAGCTCCTTTCAGACCCCACGGCCACCCCAAATAGGTGAGAAGAAATCTGTGCTGATCAACTGCCTGTATTGGATTCAATCAGAGACCTCAAATAAGAAAAAAGGAGATAGAGCCTCCCCAAACATCCCCCCTTTGGGGATTTTTGCATAGGCCAGCACAGCAAACGACAGCAACCAGCTCTCAGGCCAGCTCTCAGCCCCTGTCGCCTGTCTGCCCCTCATTCCTGGAGTTTTTCCCTTGGCCTCGAAGTCTAGTTCAGAACTAGCCTTCCCTTCCCAGAGGGACCCCTGAGCGGTGAGACAAAGGTCTTCTCGCGCCCTCTCACCCTCCCCAGTCTGGGCCCCAAGTGTGGGCAGCAGCCAGGAGCTGACACAGGTGCCCAGAGAGTTCTGTAGCGGGGTGACTGCTTGCCAGGTCAGGGCCCCGGCGGAGATGGGGGAGAAGGGACAGGCCCCACCACTTTCAGGGCTTTTCAGGGCCAGCTGCTCAGCATCCTTGGATATGAGGAGCCTTAGAGGCTTTCACCCACTTTGGCCCGGCCATGAACTTCTTGATGGCTGCCAGTTGACGGTGTGCATGTCAGCCCTGTTCTGGGCAGAGCCTCGTGTTCACACTCAGTCTCCCCTGCTCTGAGGGGCTTCCATCGCCCTGGGCATACTCAGGAAGGCAGCCCAGATTTCCGTGGGCATCCCCATCCCACAGAGTCCCAGGCCCTTCTTACAGCATGGAGGTAGGACTCAGGACTGGGGCTGACAGACGTAGCAGGCCCTGTCACATCCCAGTCACCCAGGTCCCCACATGTAAACTGGCAGGACTGGACTCGGGGCCACAGCCCACCCTTAAGGGCCACTGACAAGTCTTGAAGACCCAGGCTTAGAACCAGCAGGAGAGTCTCCTCTCTGGAAGGAGAATCCCAGAGCACCCACCACCACACCCCCCCTCTCTTCCCCAGGCTGCTTGCTCCTGGTGCTTTGGCACTGGAGCCCCAGAGGGCACACAGCCCTGGCTAGCCCCGGGTCCAAACACCTCCCACAGGCAAAGTCAGATGCAAGAGAACCTGTTGGAGCAGTTTGGGCAAGACTATCACCTCCTCTTCCTCCTCCTCCACTTACTTCTTGGTGGGAAGGGACCTACCCCAGGCACGGGGCCAGGTCATGGCCACAGGCAAGGGCCAAGAGGGCTGGGGTTTTCAGTGTCTCCTAGCGTTACCTCCTTTCCCCCCCCAACCGTCTTCCTTAAGGAGCGTAAGATATGTCAAAACTGGTGTTCCTGCCGGGAACTGAGAGGAGGGAATAGGGGAAAGCTGAAGGCCAGGGAGGAGGCGGCAAAGCCACAACAAACCCCCTTACCCAACTCAGACACTATTCTGTCACCACACTCCCGCCCGGGGAACTGCAGGCCTGCCGGGTCTAGCTGCTCCGCGGGGGTCGGGGAAGGGTCCTGCCCTTGGGGACAAGGTCCGAGGGAGCTCGCAGGCCACGGCGGAGAGTGGGCGCCCCGGCTGCCACCTCGCCGGAGCCCCCACGGACGCCCCAGCCCTGCCGGCGTCGGAGCCCGCCACTCGCGCCTCTCCCGGGACCCGCGCCGGGCCGCGCGCCCGCTTCTCCCGGCCCGGCCAGCCCCGAGCCCGCGCGGGGAAAGTTCCTGCAACTTCGCAGGGGGGAGGCGGCGGGGGCTCCGGGCCTGGGCCTCCCTCTGGATGCCCGGCCTCTGCGGCCGCCGCGACCCCGCTGACAGGCGGCCTGGCCCGGGCCTGGAGCCCCAACTTCCCCGCGCCCCGAGCCCACCTCCCGGCCCGCGGGCCTCGCTTTGTGCGCGGCGGCCAGGGGCGCCCAGCGCGGGCCCCGTGCTTGGCGCCCCCGCCCTGGGCACAAAAGGGCGCGCGGCCCGGCACGGCCCAGCCCCGACCCGGGCGCCCGTAATGCGGCGGCGGCGGCGGCCCGTCCCCGAGCCGGGCCTGCGGGCGCGCAGCCGGGGGCGCGGGGCTCGGTCGGGCGGGGTGGCCGGGCCGGGCCGGGCCGAGCGGCCGCCGCGCGCTCACCTGCCGTGGAACCAGTCCTTGCAAGCGTCGCACTCGATCATGAAGCGGGTAACGTCGTAGGGGAGCCGGCAGACGCAGTACACGGGCACCGTCGCCATGTTGCCGCGCCGCGCCGCCGCTCGGCCCCGCCGCTGCGCTGCCCGGGTCGGTCCGGGCCGGGCCGGGGGCCGGGCCGCGCGGGGGCGGCGGGGGCGGCGGGGCGCAGGCGGCGCCGCGGCCGGGAGGGGACGGGGACGGGGGCGCACGACAGCCCCCGCGCGCGCTCCCGGCCGGGCGCGTCCACACAATGCCGGGCGCGCTGGCTGGAGGGGCCGCGCCGGGAGCCGCCCGCCGGCCCGCGGGGCTCAGGGCGCGAGTGTGCGCGGGGGACGGGCCGCGCGCGGGACACAAAAGGGAATGGACGCGCGGGGGCGACGGGCGGGGAGCCGCGGCCCCACCGAAGGGACCCCGGCCGCCGAGCGGCCTCTACGTCAGCGCCCCGGGTGGCGCCGCCTCCGCCCGCCGGCCTGGGCCGCCGCTCCCGCCGCCGGGAAGGCGGGCTGGGGAACCCTGCGGGGGAGAAGGTGGGTTGGGGGACCCTCCCGGGGGAGAAGACGGGCGGGGGGACCCCGCTGTGGGAGAAGGCGGGTGGAGGGATCCCGAAGGTGGAAGATAGGCCGAGGAGGGCCCCCAAGGCTGAAGGTAGACCCAGGGGTCCGCGGGCGCGAAGGTGAGCTGGGGGAGCCCTGAGGCTGAAAGTGGGGTGGGACCCCGGGGAGAAGGTGGGCGGGGCCCCGGGGAAAAGATGAGCTGGGGGAACCCGGGCAAGGCAGGCGGGGATACCCGGGGTGCGGAAGCGGAGCCCGCAGGAGAGCCTTCCTAGTCTAGAAGGCCGACATGCAAATACTTGGCCCTAACTTTCTAATGACCCCCACGACGGTGGGGTGTTCCTCCTCCTCGACTGCGCTGCCTCCCGCCTCTGCCCGTTCCCCACTGAGTTTCTGGCTGGGACACCACTTCCCCTTTCCCCTCATTCCCGGCTGGGGACTGCCGCCTCCCTCGCAGGATCCCGCGGACTTCCCTGATGCTCAGCCCCAGAGGAAGAGGACAGAAGCCCGGGCGGGGAGTGCGCTGGCACGGGCGGGTCAGCTCTGTCAAGAGAGAGCTCCCTGGCATTTGAGCCCCCCAGGCCCGTGACCTAAGGGGCGAGGAGTACGGGAACCCTGGCCCCCGTGTCCAGGGAGCTGAGCCCCCACGGTGGGGAGGAGAAGCGGAGGTGCGCTCTGAGTGGTCACTTGCACCCTTTTTAGAGGCCTTCCCTGCCCCACCAGCGCTGCATCCTTGGGGCATCCGCGCTGGGCGGGGGCCACATCCCTGCCTGCCCTTCCTCCCTCACCGTCTTTCTCTCCCCATCCTCCCTCAGCAAAATCCGCATCATGCTGGGAAATGCGGGCCACCCCTGCTCGGAATTCCAGAATCTCGGGAAGGAAAACCCGACCCAGTCTCCTAGCAGCATCCATAACAAGGCTCCTTAGCCCCTCGGCCCCTCACCATCACCGCCCACTTGCTGCTGCCAAGGGGCTGTTTGCTCCACGGCAGGCGGCTCAATTAAGGTCCTTCCTCCGACTGAGCAAAAACCCGCCCTCAGAGTCAGCCACCCACCCCCAACAAGTGACCCCGTGGATACAGACTCAGGGCAGTGCCCAAAGAACTGGGTATTGGGGAAGGGGACAGAGGAAGAAGTAGCTGGCCATAGAGGGAGAGGAAAGAGCAAGAGACCCCCAGCTCCCACACCTCTGGGTTGGCCAGGATGGCCTGCAATAGGCCTTCCTACCTGAATTCCGGTTGTCACTGGTTGCCTTCCTCCAGGGTGAAAGCCTGGAATTTTTTTTTTTTTTTTTACATACTAAAGTTCTGGGAAAGAAGTAACTCTTAAGCCGTTGTCTACTATTATATATTATGCTCAGCCTGAAGGTTGAGAGCCCAAAAGGAGGGTTTCAGGTGAGTGGTGCCCACTTCCTTGATGGACACACTCTCTCCCTCGCCCTTACAGCAGTACTAAAGCAGTCAGGTGAGCAGTGCCCAGATGAAGCTGGAAACTTCTAGAGGCTGCTGTGGTGCAGGGGAAGCTGCCCTGATGTGGGTAGCCCCCCATCCCTTTACACTCCTATTAGCCTGTTTACAAACAATGAGGGTAGTTTGCCAACATTTAGCAAATGCTTTTACCAGGACAGAGCCCTGGGCTCGGTTCTTCATGAGGTTTTACCAGTACCCAGCCAGATATTTGTCGGCACTTAGCAAATGCCTGGGTCATGATGGCTATTAATGCATACTCAGGACTCTCCTTTGGTGCCTTTAGGTATTGGTATTGGTGCCATTTCACAGAAGTGAAAACTGAGGCGCTAAGCAATTAAACACCTAGCTGGACAGAGGATGTCTGCTCCCCGGTGAGACGGCAGAGGGTGGGAGCCAGTGAGGAGCCCTCGGCTGATCTCCAAGTCCTGGGTCTGTGCTCCCTGCCCCGCAGCCACCGCACAGAATGTGTCTGGAGAAGCTCCGCCTCCCCTCTAGTCGTTCAGGGGTGTCCACCCCACCCACCTCCCAGCCCTGCCCTCCAGATGGTCTTCTGTGCCCACCTGCACCTCCTGTGCTCCGCCAGATACATTCCTCTTGTTCAAAGCCCTTCCATGGCTGCCTGTCGTCTGTGGGATAAAACAAGTATCATCACGACCCCACAAGCTCCCTCTGTTTGGCTTGTCCCTATGGCTTCCCCTTTCTTTTTCTTTGTTTTCTTCTTTTTTTTTTTTTTAAATGGAGTTCACTCATGTTGCCCAGGATGGAGTACAGTGGTGTGGTCTCAGCTCACCGCAACCTCCGCATCCCGGGTTCACGCGATTCCCCTGCCTCAGCCTCCCGAGTAGCTGGGATTACAGGCATGTGCCACCACACCCAGCTAATTTTCTATTTTTAGTAGAGACAGGGTTTCTCCATGTTGGTCAGGCTGGTCTCAAACTCCTGACCTCAGGTGATCCGCCCGCCTCCACCTCCCAAAGTGCTAGGATTTCAGGCGTTGAGCCACTGCACCCAGCTGACTTCCCCTTTCTTTTCTCTATCTCCTTCGGGACACACGCCTCCCCATTCCTCTCTCCTTCCCTGCTTCTCTCTCACTCCTCTACTGAGGTATTTATTGAGCATCTACTGTGTCCCAAGCAGTGTTGTAGACACTGAGGACTCAGCAGAGTCTCAGCTGTGTTGGAGTTCACATTGGAGTAAAGGGAGACAGTCAGTACATACATCAATGCATACAAGATGATTGGGTAGAAAGAAGGGCACTGGCTAGAGGGACACCCCCCCGAGAAGGTGAGCTGGGGGCAAAGGCCACGATAGGACTGCTGAGAGAGGGCAAGGAGCACAGTGAACTCACTCTTGCCTGGTGGTAAGGAGGGAAAGGCCCCAGAGAGGAGGAGCATGGTGGCCTTGGAAGTTCAGGTAGCATCTTACTGCCTCCCACACCTCATTGCCTTTCAAACTCAATGGCCTCCTCTGCTTAGTAGTTAGCCAACTACTAACTCCCTCAACTACTAACTGCCTGGTACCTCAATGCCTGCCCACCACACCCTCCCTGTTGCCCAGGGCTCAGCTGCACTTCAGTACTTAGGAGGCTATGCCAGGGTCAAGATGTCCCTACCCATAACTCAGTCAGGCTGGCATTGTGCAGGTGCAGCACGGGTGGGCTCACAAGCTCCAGGGCCTCCACACACCTGCACCCTGGTGCTGCAATGACAGTGCCGCTGCAGCATGGATGTGTTTTATTCCCCTTCCTACCCAGCCATCAGCACAGCCTGCTCCAGGGCCTGTGGTTCACATATTCACTAAACGTGTTGAGTGCAAATGCAGGTTTTTTGGTAAAATTGGGGTTACATATACATAATATAAAGCTTACCATTTTAACCATTTTTAATGCACAGTTTGGTGGTATGAAGTACATTCACACTGTTGTGCAACCACCACCACCATCCATCTCCAGAAATTTTTCCACAGTCCCCAGTGGAAACTCTGTCCCTTATAAACACCAAACCCCTCCTTCTCCAGCCCCTGGCAGCCACCATTTGCTTTTTGTCTCTATGAATTTGACTCCTCTAGGTATATAAGTGGAACCACACAATATTTGTCCTTTTGTGACCATTTTATATCACTGAACATAATGTCCTCAAGTTTCGTCCCCATTGTAGCATGGGTCAGAATTCCTTTTTAAGACTGAATAATATTCCATTGTATGTATGTGCCACCCTTTGTTTCTCCATTCCTCTGTCAGTGGATACTTGGGTGGCATCCATCCTTTGGCTATTGTGAATAATGCTGCTATGAACATCAGCGTGCAGATAACTGTTGGAGTCCCTGCTTTTACTTCTTCTGGGTATATATCCAGAAGTGGGACTGCTGGATCACATGGTGATTCAATGTTTGTATTTTTTGAGGAACTGCCATACCATTTTCCACAATGGCTATACTATTTTACATTCCCACCAGGAATGCACAAGAGTTCCAGTTACTCCACATCTGCATCAACACTTACTATTTTCTGTTTTGTATTTGTCTTGGTTTTTTCGTTGTTGCTGTTTTTGTTTTTATTTGGTAAAAGTCATCTTTAATGGGTGTGAAGTGGGATCTCATTGTGGTTTTCATTTGCATTTCCCTAATGACTAGTGATGTTGAACATCTTTTCATGTGCTTAATGGAGAAACATCTATTCAAATTCCTAGCCTCTTTTTTTTTTTTTTTTTTTTTTTAATAGAGAGAGACAGGGTCTTGGTCCATGGCCCAGGCTGGAGTACAGTGGTATGATCATAGCTCACTGCAGCCTCAAACTTCCGGGCTCAAGAGATCCCAAGTAGCAGGGACTACAGGCAGGCACCACCACATCCAGCTAATTTTTTGTAGAGACTGGGGTCTCCTTATGTTGCCCAGTCTGTTCTCCAATTCCTAGCCTCAAGCAGTCCTCCTGCCTCAGCCTCCCAAAATGCTGGATTATAGGCATGAACCACCTCGCTTGGCCTCTTTGCCCATTTTTGAATTGAGTTGTTTTCTGGTTGTTGAGTTTTAGGAGCCATTTATATAGTCTGGGTATTAATCCCCTTATCAGATACATGATTTGCAAATATTTTCTCTCATTCCATAGATTGCCTTTTCACCCTGTTGTGTCCTTTGCACAGAAGTTTTAAATTTTGGTGAAGTCTAAATTATCTATTTTTTCTCCTGTTTTGCCTGTGTTTTTGGTTTCATATCCAAGTAATCATTGTCAATCCAATATTATGAAGCATTTTCCCTAGTTTTCTCTCTCAGTTTTACAGTTTTAGCTCTTACATTTAGGTCTTCGATTCGTTTTAATTTTTGTAAATGATGTAAAGTAAGGACCTAACTTCATTGTTTTGCATGTGAATATCTTGTTTTCACAGCATCATGTTAGAAATATTGTCCTTTTCTCACTGAATTGTCTTGGCCCCTTGTTGAAAATCATTTGATCATATATATGTGAGGGTTTATTTCTTGGCTTTCTATTGTATTTTGTCTGTCTGTATGTCTGTCTTAATGTCAGTACCATACAGTTTTGATTACTGTAGTTTTGTACTAAGTGTGAAATCAGGAAGTGTGAGATCTCCAACTTTGTTCTTTTTTTTAAGACCATTTTGGCTACTTGGGGTCCCTTGAGATTCCATATGATTTCTAGAATGGATTTTTCCTTTAGAAAATTTATTTCTGCAAGAAAACATTGTTGAGATTTTCATAAGGATTGCAGTAAATCTGTAGATTGCTTTTAAGAGATTGACCTTTTAACAATAAGTCTTATAATCCATAGACACAGGCTGTCTTTTCATTTATTTGTGTCTTTTTAAATTGCTTTCAGCAGTGTTTGGTAGTTTTCCATTTTCAGTGTACAAGCTTTTTGTCTCCTTGGCTAAGTTTATTCCTAAGTATTTTATTCTTTTTGATGCTATTATAAATGGATTTTTTTCATAATTTCTTTTTCAGATTTTTTTTTTAAAGATGGAATCTTGCTCTGTCACCCAGGCTGGAGTGCAGTGGCATGATCTCGGCTCACTGCAGCCTCCACCTGCCAGACTCAGGTGATTCTCCTGCCTCAGCTTCCCAAGTAGCTGGGATAACAGGCATGTGCCACCACACCTGACTAATTTTTGTATTTTTAGTAGACACGGGGTTTCCCCATGTTGGCCAGGCTGGCCTCGAACTTCTGACCTCAGGCAATCCGCCTGCCTCGGCCTTCCAAAATGCTGGGATTATAGGTGTGGAGCCCACCTGCATCTGGCTGGTTTTAGAGTATGACTAGGGAACTACCCGACTTGCTCGGATCCATGTGGGGGGGGTTCAAAGATTGTTCATTGTTAGTGTATGGAAACAAAACTAATTTTTTTTTTTTTTTGATACGGAGTCTCACTCCGTCGCCCAGGCTGGAGTGCAGTGGCGCGATCTCGGCTCACTGCAAGCTCCGCCTCCTGGGTTCATGCCATTCTCCTGCCTCAGCCTCCTGAGTAGCTGGGACTGCAGGCGCCTGCCACCACGCCCGGCTAATTTTTTTGTATTTTTAGAGAGACGAGGTTTCACCGTGTTAGCCAGGATGGTCGTCCTGACCTTGTGATCCGCCTGCCTCAGCCTCCCAAAGTGCTGGGATTACAAGCGTGAGCCACCGCGCCCATCTTTTTTTTTTTTTTTTTTTTTTTTTTGAGACAGAGTCTCACTCAGTTGCCCAGGCTGGAGTGCAGTGGTGCCATCTCGGCTCACTGCACCCTCTGCCTCCTGGGTTCATGCCATTCTCCTGCCTCAGCCTCCTGAGTAACTGGGACAACAGGCACCAGCCACTATGCCTAGATAATTTTTTTCTGTATTTTTAGTAGAGACAGGGTTTCACCGTGTTAGCCAGGATGGTCTCAATCTCCTGATCTCATGATCCGCCCGTCTCGGCCTCCCAAAGTGTTGGGATTATAGGCATGAGCCACCATGCCCGGCCAACTAATTTTCGTATGTTGATTTGGTATCTTGCTCTTTACTAAATTCATAGGTTTTGGGATGGTTTTATGTCTGTGGACTCTTTAGGGTTCCTATATCTTGATGATCTTACATGAAGATATAAGATCATGTCATCTATGAACAGATAATTTTACTTCTTTTCCAATTTGGATGGCTTTTTTTTCTCTCTCTCTCTCTCTTTTCCTTTTTCTTGTGTAATTGCTCTGGCTAGGACTTCCGGTACTATAATGAATAGAAGTAGTGAGAGTGGGCATCCTTGGCCTTCTTCCTGATCTTACAGGAAATGCTTTCAGCCCTTCACCATTGAGTAAGATTTTAGCTGTCAGCTTTTCACATATGGCTTTTACTATGTTGAGGAAGTTTCCTTCTATTCCTAATGTATTTAATTTTTTAACCAAGGAAGGGTGTTGAATTTTGTTAAATGCTTTTTCTACATTAATTGAGATGACCATGTAGGTTTTTATTGCTCATTCTGTTAACATGTGTATTACATTGATTGATATTTGGATGCTGAAACATCCTTGCATTCTGGGAATAAATCCCACTTGGTCATGGCATATGATCCTTTTAATATGCTACTGAATTCAGTTTGCAAGTATTTTATTGAGGA